CCCCAAAACCCCAAAACCCCAAAACCCCACTCTGAATCAAAGTCATTGAACTTATTTAAAGAAAATATTCGAAGAACTGATAATTTATTTTAAAATATGAAAACTATAAAGCAAGATATCCCAAAAGACTCTCTTTCTAAAATATTGGCATTTGCCAATAAAAAAAGAAAGTTTAGTAATTCTGAAGCATCGCCATCGCCATCCCTATCCTCGGATAACCTTCTTGAATTAAGTAAAGAGGTAAGTTTTCATGCTTAGATTTATCATATTTATGCTTTTTAAAGTTACCTTCATCTTCCTAAGTAAATCTTTTTCTCAAACTAGTTTTGCAATAATATTTACAAATGAAATAATTGTAGGTCTCAAACGGCTCTCTTACTGATCTTCATGGAAACTTCTTAAGCATCCTCCTCCAGCCATGATTTATCAGCCGGTTGAATCCATACAGACCAGATTTTTCCTTCCAGAAAGCATCGGGGCATGAGCCCACTTCACTTCCTCATCAAGGTCTCATCGAGTCTTCACAAACTTCAGAGCTTGCTCCTTCTCTCGAGAAAGAGCAAGCTGATCTTTCCCTTAAAACTTTATTTGGAATACTTGGATATTGAGGTTGTGAGAATTACCAGTCTAATCTGAAAATCCTTGCACCTAAAGAAGAGGATAAATCCTTTGAGGATGCTCCTAATGACCTTTCACATAACTCTAATACCCAAAGTATCTGTGAAGTTGATGTGTGTCAGAACTGTGACCAAGAAATGGATGAAGTACCCAAACCTAAAATTACAGCAGAAGATTCTCCTTTAAACATCAGAGAAGAGGATGAATACTTGATGGACCTTCACCCTCATACAAATGAGTTTGTTACTAACCCTTCCACAGGCAGACTAGTCAAGAAGATAGTGTGTATGCATCCTGGCTGCGGGAAGAAGTTCGACAAGAAGTGGAACTTCAAAGATCATATTCGTATGCACATGGGAGATAGACCATATAAATGTGCTCACTGTCCAAAAACTTTCACTCAGAAGGGCAATTTGGATAAGCATATGAAGCAGCATGAATTTAAGGACTTGCAGTCCAGAAAAATTCATGAGTGCCATATCTGTCATAAAAGATTCACTGAAAAGTACAATTTGAAGGTACAGTTTTTGGATATTTTGAGTCTTCTATTTCATCCAATCATCAATTAGCAATAACTTTTGAGCATTATTGGATTTTTGCAACAGTGGAGCCATAACTTATTTATAAAATACTGAGGAGAGATATCTCATTGCAGTATTATATCCATCATTTCCTTTACTAAAAATGTATATAGAACCACCTTAAGAAGCATGAGAAGCTTGGAAGCAGTAAGCACCATTTTCTTTTAGAGAAATCTGTTTATTAAAAACTTTTAGTTCAGACATTCAAAATAACCTGAAGAAAGATTTTTCAGGCACTCAAATCATTAATATTATGAGAAGACCAATATTTAGAAAGGGTGAACTCTAGCGTATACATTTCAGACCCTCTTTAGTTTTAATTTTAGGTTAACCTGAGCTCGACTTATTTGTTATTTGAAGTTATTTCACAGTTCTGGAAATAGCTCCCAATATAGACATTAACGATCTTTGCTTTCAGAATTAATTAGACACTTGATAATTGGTTATGACTTCATAAAGCTTGAGGGTTCTCGGATATATTTCAATGTCGCTAATGCAAAGTTGGAGAATATCCAATGACCCGCAAATTTGGAGATTTATACTTAGGAATTAATTCAAATGTTTTAGACATAAGAAAGAAGAGAAAGTCAAAGAGCAGAGCTAAAAGGAACAAAAGGACCAAGGAGATTAAGTAAATCTCCCTTAAGAGCTTAGCAAAAAGTAGCCAAGATTATTCATAACTTTTGTAAAGTTCTTAAAAATCAATGTTTTGTGGATTTTAAGTATTCTGCAAATCTTTTTTAAATTTTAGTGACCAATTTATCAACATTATGATAATTTGTGTTAAATTAGAGACTGACTCTTTTTAAACGACAAGAATGCTGTGCTTATAAATACCAAAATATGGTTAGGACAAATTAGATTCTGCTATTCATTCTCCCATTCCCATCTCTCCAAAATTTAAGTTATTTCTAAAGGATGTAGGAATTGTGGGAGAAAAATCCATCTGGTTAGACTTTTAAAGAGAAATAGATATTTTATCTCTTTGACATCTAAACCTCTGGTTCAAAAAGACTAGAGAACATATTTTCTCATTCTCTTACTATTTTTACAATAGAAGTTTGAAGGCTCAATCCAATGGTAAATAGAACTTAGTCAATGGAATCTTTAATTTCTCATTAGGTCTATTCAAACCTTTCATGGCTCTCATAAAGAGTAATATGTCCTTGCGAAATCTGAATAACACTTAAGGTTTTTAAAATTATTAGCATTCTTCTTATTATAAAAGTATTTGGGATACAAGCGATTGATGCCAGAAAATCTAGTAACAATGACATCTTTTTCATAATCAACAATAATAACTTAAGTTTAAGAGAAGAATGGTTGGTAGTTACTGACCAAAGGTTACTTCATAAAGCTCTTTAAATCTAATACTACTGTTTTAGTTTATGAAGTCTTTTAAGTAAAATGGTCTTGGATATTCTTAATTTTCATTACTTGACATCTTTATTCCAATTGAGCTTTTAATTTAAGGGGTTTTGGGGTTTTGGGGTTTTGGGGTTTTGGGGTTTTGGGGTTTTGGGGTTTTGGG